CCCCAAAACCCCAAAACCCCAAAACCCCAAAACCCCTTTCTCTTGGAGAAACATTGAGGTGATGATCAGGCAAATATATTAGTTTGTTCCATACACTACAATTCTGTAGAATAAGTCACCAATGACACCTGAGAGACTCAGCCAGTCTTGGAAGAAAATCTCAGCATAAGTGGCTGTTCCAGCAGACAGAATTCTACCAAAGTTTTTCTTGAAGTTTGATGGAATCTTACGGAAGCTGATGTGACCTAAGGTTTTCCAACTTTCGTCCAGAGTACTTACGCATCCTGTGAAGGCCTGATTAGTGAAGCTCAAACTATCAATGTAGATAAAAGTAGCCTCCTTCTGCTTATTCTTCTTATGGTTAAGTTCATTAGCTTTATTGACGTAGCGGAGGAAGTTGATAGCTCCTTCTTGACAATCCAGAATTGAGTCTCTGGAAGCAAGTTTTGAGCTATGAAGGAATTTAAATGTCCCTTCGAGGTAATTCCAAAGTGGCTGATGGAGAGGATCCTTTGCAAGAGGGTCAGTGTCAATATATCTCAAAGGAGACTCATATGGAGAAATTAGCATCTCAGTGTAGAATGGGGCTTCAACTTGCTCGAATACAAAAGTTTTATCAATAATATCACCAGTAAGGTAAGCAATTTCAGTGTAGTTGGAATCTACCATAAGGTTAGATAAGATTAGTCCGAAATCTTTTTTAATATGCTTGATATTCCACAAGACATTTGAACTGACTTTGTCAAGGAAGTCATTGAAGTTTTTAAACTTTTTCTTGTAAGCAATGTTAATTTTGATAAGATCCTCAATAGAATCAGCACAGTGTCTGGAGAGTGGGGAAAGCAAGGTAAAAGCTTGAGTCATCTCATCAGTTCCATTATAAAATTGACCTGATCCATACTTATCCAATGCAACTTGCACTTCATTAGTAAAGTCAAATGATCCATCAGCACATTCGTCGGAAATAGAAGTGTATTGCTCTATTTTAACTCCTTGAAAGAAGCCTTCTACAACTTCTCTAAAATCTGTATTTCTCAAAGAATTTCCTTGACTAGATTCTTGAGTGGAGAAGATTGGTCTGGCATATGAGCTCATGACCAAGCTTATCAGCAACCTATAGGTATAAATTCAAATCTCTCAAGAAATAATTCCCCTCTAGCCCAATTGTAGCCCCTGAAGGCTTCTACAAGCTTAGGAGGAAGTTCAGACATTGCTCTCGGCCACTTACAACAAAAGGAGGTTAAGCTTCATGTCCTATTATTATCTGATAAATATTATATTCTGCATTGGGGTTTTGGGGTTTTGGGGTTTTGGGGTTTTGGGGTTTTGGGGTTTTGGGG